GTTGTATTTCAAATAGGGCAACTCTTAAGATGTGTGGACTTTAACTCCTAGAATTCTCCAGCCAGCATATGGCACATCTTAAAATGGCCAGGTTTGAAAAAGCACTGGTTTAAATTATGCAAATAAAGCATAACTGCACACATTCTTGTCTTCTGCATAATTTGTTTAGCCTTTTGCTAACCTTGGAGTAGATGGCTGAAACTTCTTAATCCTTAATCTTTGGATACCACTTACACTCTTATTGCTTCCTTTCACTTCCAGTATCTCAATCATACATTTTCAAGGTTGTATTTGTAACTTGAAGGGCTAAAAAAAAATGTCAGGGTAGTGAAGAAATGAGATTTCTCAGGGTGTCCATTGGGTACACATTGTGTCAAATTATATATTTATGGAGATTAACATAAAGCCAGAGGTGGTATTCAGCAGGTTCTGACCAATTCTGGAGAAACGGTAGCGGAAATTTTGAGTAGTCCAGAGAACTGGCAAATGCCACCTCTGACTGGAGATTTTACAGTATCCTTCCCCTTGCCATGCCCACCAAGCCACGCCCACAGAACCGGTAGTAAAAATATTTGAATCCCACCACTGCATAAAGCACACAAAGCTAAAAATAGGTGTGTTGATAGATATCCTGGTTTAGGGACACGGAGAGGGAGAAAAGGGGTTTAAGCTGACTTAATGCCACGTTTTAAAGATTCTTTTTTGAGGGACAGCATTTTTTAGGATTCAAACAACCCCAAAAGATTTCACTACCATGGTTGGCTCTCAGAATTATCTGTATGTGATATTGGGAGGGTGTCTCACCTGTAGCAGTTGTTGTGGAAGCGATTGTAGCTGCCAAGTGCGGTCAGGGCTCCCAGCCCAATAGCATATGAGAAGAAGATCTGGGTACCAGCATCAATCCATACCTGGGATGAGGGGAACAGCTGTGGTATAAACCCCACTAGTGGGGGGGCAGAACTCTGTTTGCATGGCCTGAACCAGGTGACTAGAGGGCAGCTATGGTTGCATGCGAGAGCCTTGTTTCCTCCAGAGACATTGGCTAAAGCCTCACCATTTCCCAATTACTTCCCCCAATGATAACCTTCTCCACCCATCTCTCTCTGTCAATGTCACCCAACATTCTTACCTGAGCCACAGCAAGCTTGGACCAGTCAGGTTTCAGGTAGTAAATGATCCCATCCAGTGCACCAGGCAACGTCACTCCTTGCAAGAGCAGGAGGATAAGCACCACATAAGGGAACAATGCAGTGAAATATACCACCTGTCAGCCAAAGAGAGGATTAGAAATTACAAGACTGCATCGTAGGAGGACCACCCTACTTAGATCCCAGATTACACTTGACATGATGGGTCACAAGTTATGGACACTGGGATAAGAGGATAGAGCAACGTTTTTCAACCTCAGCAACTTTAAGATGTGTGGACTTCAACTCCCAGAATTCCCAATCCCACAGCCAGCTGGCTGGGGGAATTCTGGGAGTTGAAGTCCACACATCTTAAAGTAGATGAGGTTGAGAAACACTAGGATAGAGAATGCGGATTATGTTAAAACATAAGCATGTAAAAAAGACAATAACAAATGAAAATAAAAAACCAGTTTATGGCTGCTAGAAGCCTTGTCATGCTCATTTACTTTTCTGCAAATTCACAAACACAACACATGCCATTGGTTGTCAGGAAACCCTATCCCTGGACCTTTCTTCCCCTCTTTCTTTCAATAGCTGTAGTTATTTCCAGAGAATGATGGACGCTTGTATCGCTAGACAGCTTTACAATCCAGTGGGAAATACAAGCTACATTTGCTTGCAAGTACTGCATGATAAAACAATTGGTTAGGCTGCCCTCCTCCTACCTTCACTGTGTTTCTTACATAAGGTCTGTTCCTAAACTGAGGTCAGAGGAGGGTAGGAAGAGGTTTATTTTCTTAATAAATAGTTCCTTGAAATGGTAAAAAAAAAAAATTGTTAAGTATGAAGTCCATTAGGTTTGAAGAGGAAGCGGCAAGATATCAAATTTCACCCCAAAAGCCAGGAAATCTAGTTTCAGAATGAAAAGCAGGGCATTTCAAGATTCAGAAATAATGGCATCCTTATTAGAGAATTTATCCTGCACTCAGTGTCATTATGGGCACTCGCATAAGCTTTCTCCTGAAACAATACACACACACACACATCAGTTACCTTCCCGGTTGACTTGACCCCCTTCCAGATGCAGAAATAAACAATGACCCAAGTTGAAAGCAAGCAAAGGGTCAGCTGCCAGCTGATCTCTCCTGGATCAGCCAGATCCCCTGAAATATGCAGCACTTTGTTCCTGAGGAAATGAAGAAGGAGATTAGAAGAAGGCCCAGCCTGACAAAGAGAGGGGGGAAAAAACACTCTTCTGTGGGAAATTATTTGCTTTGCCTCAGGTATGGGTTGGGCTCAGAGGACAGATCAGATTTACAGATTTCGTGAAACCATTAAAAGTAAGCAACTAGTCAATAGTTATTTGAGTATGATAATTTTTAGTATCTTAGGAGTCCTTAATGGATTTTCTGCCTCAGCTGCCAAAACCCTTTGGATTCCTGTTATCCAAATCATCCCATGACCCCTTTTCCCTCCATTTTGAAGTTTCCCTTCTGTCTTGCTCACAAGACCCTTCCCTCTGCTGGGCTTTCAAGAAGCCTCCTCAACTCGTTCTTCTGGAGCAGGGGGCCACAAAGCTCTGGCCTTCAGAAGCTGCTGAACTGCAACTCTGCCAGGCTGGCCCATGAAGAAAAATCTAGGTAGCGCTGGAAAAGGCCACAGGTTCTCCCCACCCCCCACACCTTTTCCCAAGGAAATCTACACCAGGTGTGCCTCCTAGACATTGCCACCCACTCACTCCCAGAACTCAATGACGGGAGAGCGCTGGTCAGCCAGGCTGCTGCAGTTTCTGGAGGTGCCGTTGTGGGTGTTGTTGCCGCAGCTGCTCAAACCAAAAAGCTCGGTGCATTGGGGAGAGTTCCACGGGTGGCCACAGGTGGCCCACGGCAGCGTCTCCGTCAGTGAGTGGGCCAAGTAGAAGACACCCCAGACGAGGATCATAATATAGTAAGAGTTACAGAAGAAGACAATGACCATGGAGGCGAGGCCCAAACCTAGAGAGAAACAACTGATTAGAGCCTGAGGCATTGGAAGGATAGCACGTCACACCCTTGCACTAAGGCCCTGTCTCTAATGGCAAGGGAATGAAAGAACAGCAAAGTAGGGAAGCTTGGAATGATGTGGAGAAGATGTAGACAGAATAACATTTTGAATGCTCTCTTACATTAAACGAAAGAGACATGATAAGCATAATTTTAGCTTTTCTTTAGCTTTAGCTTTTCTTTAAACAAAATCTTGAGCTTTTCTCCCAAGTTAGATTTTATTAATGTGAGGAACTCAAGAATAAGTTGGTAAAACTCTGTTTTGTGCAGTTTTAAAGTGCTGCATGTAGAAACTATGTTCTGTATCTATCCTCAACCTTCTTTTCCCATGCAAATTTCAAGCAAAATCTATATAGCAGACAGTCTAGATTGTGTTTATATTGTAATGTCAACAACCCCCAAAAAAAATCTGCCCCTAGGAAAAATGAATTCATCACATCCATTATACATACATTGGTGTTGTTGTTTATTTCCCATTTTTATCCTGTTTTCACTAGGCCTGGGAAATGCTGAAGAACTACAATATTAAACACTTCCATATCCCATCTATTGGACAGCCCTATAATTGTACATTCTAGAAACTGATACTGATCACTCAATTCCGGACCAAATATAATATTCAGTGTGTTTGTAGATGACTCAGAGTCATTCTGATAATTAGAGGACGGCAAAATACATACATATTGCAGCTTTGGAGAAAATACATATTCCAAGTAGGAATATGCAAAAATCACAGCAGAAAAAAAGTTTGGACCACATTTGGAGTCTGGATGTAAATTAACTTGTTTGATGTACTGGCTGCCTTCCAAATGACCCCTTTATCTCAAGGAGGTTGCCCTGTCATCATTATGATGGAGTTTTACATTGGTACCAAAGCAAGGGTCCATCCACACATGCCTGTGTCCCCTGTTTTGAACAAGCTATTGGTCAAGAAGCATCAGGTAGCTCCAGCCTACTATTCCTTCCTCTCTGGCCAACTAACAATGGCTGGAAACTAAACTTCCATTTCCACAAGAATATCTGTGGCAAAGTTTCAAAACTCTATGCTTCAGAAACTACTGTAGTTTCCACATTAAATTGGTGAAAAGACTGAAGGTGAGGTAAAATCTTTGCACGCTGGGCTTCAAATAGCTGGAGAAGCAAGAGATGGCACCAAAACCACTAATTCTTTGGCCCCATCTTGTGGTCTTTCTAATACTTGTGGTCCAGATTTGTGTTGCTGCCAGAGAATACAATGGGGGCATCGGGTGTGGGGAACCAGATGCCCCCATTGGGGGAGACATGCTACATTGTTAAGATGCAAAGCAAGACTGGACTTTTGGGAAGAGTAGGAACAGCCTTTCAAACTTGAAGAGCGCTTATGCTGTTGCAAACATTATCGCTTCTCAACTTGCCAGAGAATCAGGGGGAAGGGAAGGGTGAGATTGAATGCAGGCTCCAGACTTCAAGAAGACAAGCTATGAGAGTCAAGGACACTCAGGCAGGTGTTTGCCAAGACCAGAGACTTTTTCTCATAACAATACAATGACACTCCATTGGACAATGTGATCTGCATTAATGGTGGTGGGCAGAAATCTATGTCATCATGATGTGGGTTTGCGCAGGAATTAAGCAGAGCTGGTTTTGCCTTCAGCAGTGCCAAAATGATGTACTCAATAAAGTTTTGCATTCAGAGATTGGAAGGTCTCGCGTGTGCTTGCTTTGGTTGGGTTCGACAATCCCTAAATTCCACACCAATGATTTCCCTAATTTTATCCTTTCTGCCGAATCGTAACAGAAGGGGGAATGGTCACGACTCACAACAGTTAACAGAAACAGACAGATGCCCTTTGGTTCTCTGTAATTGAACAGAGCTGCTTCATCACTTTTTATGTAGCAATATAGCCTAGATTATTTGTAATGTTTTCTTAGATAGAATTCTACAAGAAAAATAAACTCTGCTGTGCTTTAATACTCTGTTGCTATACATCCTCAGCATCACAACAGCTCCTGCTACTTCTGAATCTAGTAGGTGGCTGAAAGGTACAGACAAATGTCACCGAAGCCATTACCTTTAAACAGGGGAGCAATGTTCCAGGCTGAAATTCCACCTTGCTTCATAAACTGTCCCAGGGCCACCTCCAGGAAAAAGACAGGGATCCCCCCAACAAAAACGATCAGCAGGTAAGGAATCAGAAAGACACCTGCACAGAAAAGGGGAGTCAGTGTTCTGTCCTTTTTTTCTTTTTCTTTCAAGAAGCTGGAAGAGTATAGAGAGTCTTTTTAGTGGCACTGCTGAAATTATGCAATGCTGAATTCCACTCTTCAGTTCCTCTGTTGTTTTAGGCTTTTAGTAGTTTTCTCCATTTGAATGAGTTATGGGATTATACCTCCAGGCAGATATATTCTCGCTGTCAAAGACACACAGGCATTGTCTTCTAATCTGAAAAAGCTTTAAGTCATTTCCTGCTACGGTACATTTCTGTACATTTCATAGGATGGAGAATTTGGGAAGATACAGATTTATTTTTCCTTACTGAATGTGAAGCATATTAGGACAAGTAGAGAAGCCTCATGAATTCATGAACTGCACCCTTGGGTGTAAAGATGGCAGTTTTGGAATGTTTAAAGAGTATTTACATTCATAAAATCTTGACACCGTTGGGGGACAGTTCCAGCTCTTTCCAGTAGGAGGTTGAAAGTGAGTTTCCCAAATCCACCTAGTATTGCAAATTCGGCTGTAATTCAAATAAGATTTGAATAGAAGCTGATCATTCCGCCCCCCCACCCCCAGTATAATTTCTAGAACAAGTTTTCCATTTTCCATGGCTGCTTGGGGAATTCTGGGAGTTAAAGTCCACACAATCTTAAGCTGCCAAGGTTGAGAAGCACTGTGCTATATAAATCAACATCCAGTTGAATGCTTTCAGACTGCTCTCTTTTGTCTCTTGCTCTCTCTCAAATCTAAACTGGGGAAACTAAAAAGAATGTGCCTAGACTTATGTCTATTCTATCGCAGCAGTGGAAGAGAAAGGTAATCCTGACATTGAATCAGTTTAATGCTCCAGAGTTCTCCATTCAGAACTTGCCGATTTGGCAAGTATTTTCAAGATGCCTGTCGATGCAACCCAAGCATCTTCATATGCTATTTGTTATCATTTTGTTCCAGTTCTTTGATTGTCAGCTTGTCCCAATTCCATGAGGCACATTACAACCAATTAGAAATCCTTTCCTTGCCCGCTTCACATATGCTTCCAGATCTCTACTCCCTTAGGGCATATGCCATTGTAAGTGAGCTTTTAAAAAACATTTGCTGACATATTCTAGAAGGAGGTTCCCCGTATATGTTGGGGCCATAAGCAAATATTCACGACTGGATTTACAAGTACTTTTCCCTGATTGCCTAGTCTCTAAGCTCAAGAGCCTCAATGAAAAGCATAAACGTAATAAAAGCAGGAGTAGTGACTGCCTTTGGGACTAAATATATAGAAACCACCTTTAATTTTCTATTGGGTAAACCCAAACAGTCCTCATCTACCTGGAATAAGGTCCAAGACTGTCCAGAACCCAGAGATGTAAAGTCACAAGTGGACAATGCTTCTTGTTAAGGAGGTCCAGATAATTTAGTATTTGTGTCATCAGCACTGTCCCAGTGATATTTATTTCAGCTTTTGCAAAGCCTCTTATTCTACCAGAGTTAAAAGTAGGACATTCTTTCTCTCTTAAAAACTATTGCCTGTCTTCATTTTAGTCCTTTTTTGAAATAACACGGATTCTTACAAAAGGGATGGTTGTAAGGTTTTCAGCTGCAGGGTGAACCTTGTGATATAATGAGACAGAGAGATGATTCTGAGTAACCAAATGGTGTATTATTAGGCTAGTACTGTAGCTTATCTATGGATAGAATACAGGTAGCCTGTAGCATTTTTCTGTGTAAGAGGCAATTCTACCACAGTGCCCTTTGCATAAACTTTAGTCACATTTAAGTGTGTGCAATAAACAATCTTCCACTTAAAAAGTGAAATAGTGCCCTGCATTTTTATGTAGTTCATTGTGGTAAGTTTTGCCACCTGGAAAAAAAAAATGTCTGAGTTTGACTGACCCAGCTTGACAGAAAGGCATCAGAATTCACCTACCTTGCATCAGGGAGGGAATAAGAAAATGGATCTGGAGGCCAAAGACAGAGGTGCCCCTGAGTCCAGGGAGCCCCTGGATTCACCTGTCCCATTGCTACACATTCCAGTTCCCATGGCAACCTTCTTACCTCCTCCATTTTTGTAGCAGAGGTATGGAAAGCGCCAGACGTTGCCCAACCCTACAGCAAAACCAACACATGACATGATGAAATCCATCTGGCGCGTCCAGGTCTCTCGCTCAGGAAAGGATAGCTTCGCCGGCCCGATGGGTACCACCAGAGGGACAGTGATGGCTCTCTCATCAAGGGTGGACTCCTCTGGGCCACTGATTGGTTCAGCACTTTCTGGCTCAGCTACCTCGGAGCACTCACTGCCCTCTGTGGAGAAAAGGACAAGCTGCTAGCCAAAAGTCAACCAGAGAGAAAGTCCAGCGAGCTGCTGAACCAACCATTTCTAGCTGCTGATGGTTGGGGCGCTGAAGGAATAGGGATCATGGCCAGGTGCTTGACACTCTGATCAACAGTTTGATCTTCCATTAACTTCCAGTTCTATGTCTGCTATCAACAGGGCTAAAACCACGAGAGAAAGTTAAAATGGTGAAGAGTAATCTGAACCATGGAGCAATGCAGGCCTTTTTTTAAAAAAAAAAATGTCTGCCATTCAACTATGCAAGAAATACTTCACAAAAAGACTTGATTGATTGGTGGATTCAATTTATAAGCCACCTCTCTTGTCTATGCAACTCTAGGTTACATACAGCATATTTATCAATCATACAGGTGGTCCTTGATGTACAACCACAATTGAGCCCAAAATTTTACTTTGCTAAGCAGGACAAGTGAATTTCACCCCATTTTTATGACCTTTCTGGTCACAGCTGTTGAATGAATCACTGCAGTTGTTAAGTTAGTAACACAATTGTTGTGAATCTGGCTTCCCCATTGACTTTGATGGTCAGAAGGTCGCAAAAGGGGATCATGTGACCTCAGGACCCTGGAACTGACATAAATATGAGTCAGTTGCCAAGCATCCAAATTTTGATTCCATGGCCATGGGGATGCTGCAACAGTTGTGTGAAGAACGGTAATAAGTCACTGTTTTCAGTGCTACTGTAACTTTAATGGTCATTCAATGAACTGTTGCAAGTAGAGAATACTTACCGAGCATTTAAGAATCGTCCATCTCTCTCATTACAGAGAATTTGGGTGGTTACAACAATAAATGTGTTGAAAACTGAAATAAGCAACACACTATTGCTGTACTAGAGAAAGAATAGAATAGAATAGAATACCTTTATTGTCATTGCATTCCATGAATACAACGAAATTTGAAAGCTACTCCAGCACAGTGTCCCAAATACCACATCACAATCACACTACAAAGTTTTAAAAATTAAAATAATTATAATAATAATAGGACTAGATCACAAATGCACTGTTTGATTCAAGACAAAAAACTGAAAAAAAAAACCTGTTTCTCAATCTATCAGTCCTCATTTTAAGACACCTATAACGCCTCCCTGATGGTAACAGATCGAAATATGAATGTCCAGGATGAGAACGGTCTGTGGAGATTTTTAGTGTTCTAGAGAGGAGTCTGGTCTTCACAATCTCTTCCAAAGAAGAAAGAGAAACACAAAGAACCAAGGAATAAAATCCCAAGATTAATGACGGGTCACAAATTGCTCTGGAAGTGGCTCAGGATCTGTTGAAAGAGCCACATTTCTTAAATACCACTGCAGTCTTGGGAAGAATATTATCCCACAGGACAGATGTGGCTGCAGAAAGGCACAGAAATCCCTCCCCCCCCCCCAAATGTTATGAGCCGCATCACTTAATATGAATAAACTATTCTTTTATGTGAACTGGCTCGTGACATTTTGCTGTTTCAAATAAGTGGCTTACTCTTTGATTTAAAAACTTTTTTTTTTCAAGTCATGCAAGAATGTGATTTGTTCTTAACAACGTCTATAATTGGTGGGGGCTTCTGAGGCATGTCAGGGCTCTGTTCCAGAAAGGGGATTGGGTCATGGCAAAAATCTAAAGTTGATTTCATTTAATCCAATTTATTACATAAAGTGAACACAAATTACTCTTTGTATATTTCGGTTATATTAAAAGTAATGATTTAATCACAATTTTTGAAGGGCCCAGGAGTCACATTCAAGGCTTTGGAAGAGCACCTGTTGTGTAACTCTTCTTAATAATGTTGCCAAAGATTCAAGGCCGCTTTTCTCTCACGGCTTCATAGATGGGCTTTTTTGTGGGAATTTACAGTTAAACTGCAAAAACTAGTCTAATGATAACCTTGCCAAGGATGGGCAAAACCAGTCCCCCTCACTTCAACCAATGTTCTTCAGATTGTCTGAATTGTGCCGATGACAACAACAAACTATAAAGTATGTTTCTTTTTAAATTAGTGTTCCAATAGCATTTTGTTTCTAGATAAAAATCAACAGAACACAGCCTATTCTTAACTAGATTTTGCAGAGCTGGGAAAGCCACATAAATTGGCAGCAGGGCAAAAGTTGAAGGGTTGGGCCTCCAGATTCCATTCTATCACCCATTTTTTTTTTCTTTCAGTATGGTTACAGTTGTTGGCATCCTAATTTTTGTTCAGAGTCCATACGAAAGTGGCATTTGTTTTTTTGCTCTTCTTGCATAAACCTTTGAGGGGGCAATGTGCATGTGCGAAAACATGTTTGCAAATATCAATATTACGAGCACCTCATGTCCATCCTTTAACACCTAGAAAAAAAAATAACTTATTTCCTTCCCAGGAATTTCCTTGGCATCAGAGCATTCGAGGCCTATCCCTGCTTCCTTGTTCCTTTGAGGGCCATAGCTTGCCGAATTCGTTTGACAATGTAATAATTTTGCAGGCACCTTTTATGTAATGTTCAATCTTTGGAATGCAGACACTAAATTTAATTCTTTCTACTTAGAAAGTTGCAATTTTGATGTCACAATGCAGGATGGTGAGTCACTCAGTAAGCAGTGATGCTGAATACACACACACACACACACACACATATACACACACAAAGACAGGCACAGAGAGCATTAACCACATGAATTCACACAGCAGTTCCTATACTCATAATGTACTTCCACACACACACATGCCCAAATCTCTTCTTTGGGCTGTTTCACACAATTCCCTGGGATTATCTACTCTCCCCCCTGGGACCTGGAATGAGGCTTGGAGATATAGCTGTGGTTCTTCAAGATTTTTGTTTCATAACACAAAGACGAACTGAATCGCCCCTCCCCTTCCTCATCCAGGAAACACTGGGCCAGGCAGGCACAAAGCTACTAATAAAACGCTGGGTACTTTCTTGTAGGTTAGTAGCCTGATCACAACAAGTTGCTTCCTGGTGCCAATTTCCCTGGCCTGTTCTGCAGGTTCTCCCCCCTCCCCTCCCCTGAAGAGCCTGGCTAAGGATGCCCTTTGCACCTGCGAGCACCTCTGAAGCCAAGGAAAAGGAATCCCCTTTGGGCAAAACAAAGGCATCAAGAGTTGTGGGCAGAGCAAGACTACGCTCCAGACACAAAGCCCCTTTTTCCTTGTCTGACTTCCCTTCCCCCACAGCTCACATGCTGCCTGGGCCCAGCGTGTGACTGGGCTAATCCCCATTTTCTGGGGCTGAATCGTCTGGATGCTCTTTGGCTGGCTCTGCAGATGGCCCTTCTCTTGGCTAAGCTATATAAAAAAGCACGTGCTTTCTTCAGAAAAAAAAATTGGGGAAGAGAATGGAGGAAGCAGCAGAAGGGAGAAGGGAGAGTGATGGTGTAGCATGTTTCATACAAGCAAGTTCTCAACCACCACCTCTTCTCCTCCTGCTGAGCTGTTGCCTTATATGGAGCTAAATGCCCAGAACCTCCAAAGGCTTCTTTTCCTTAGCTTCACACAACTTGGAAGGGCCAGCTGTGCCTCAGGCATTGGAGCACTCTGTGGCCCTGAGGTATCAAAGCTCAACCATATTGTTTTATACCACATACACCGCATTCCACCCCACTGGCTGTAGATGAACCAGCCTGGAATAATTACCACCATCCTCCATTCCAAATGCAATCATCCTTCTGTAAAATTAGCCCAGCCCTCATCAGCATCCCTCTTCCCAGATTAGGAAGATCACGGAGAAACTGTAGTGTGAGTACATTTGAGGGCATTACCGTAGAAAAACTCGGATCCATAACTTTCCCCACCCAGCAAACGAGGCAGCAAAATGTAAAAAATAGCAAGAAAGGATGGACCGACAGTGTGGAGTAAAGACTATCAGAAAGGTGTGCACTTCTGACAGAGCGGGGCGGGGGAAAGAAAGTAGAACAGAATAACACAGAGTTGCGAGGGACCTTGGAGGTCTTCTAGTCTAACCCACCGCTGTATACAATTCCAGACAAGTAGCTGTCCAGTCTCTTCTTAAAAGCCTCCAATGATGGAGCACTCACAACTTTCGGAGGCAAGCTGTTCCACCGGTCTATTGTTTTTACTGACAGGAAATTCCTCCTTAGTTCCAGACTGCTTCTCTCCTTGATTAGTTTCCATCCATTGTTTCTTGCCTTGCCCTCTGGTGCTTTGGAAAACAGGTTGGCCACAGCTTCTTCTTTGTGGCAGCCCCTCAAATATTGGAAACGCTGCTATCATTTGGCCCCACGTCCTTCTTTTCATTACACTAGGTAGCCCAGCCGGGGATAGCTGAGCTGCCTAACCATTAACACAAAGGACCTGAAGAGGAGGCCACAGAGTAGCAGCTTTTGGAAGGGGGGAAGGCTATTGTACTATTGTCCTAACTTCCCCCCCACCCCACCCTCCAAGTTAACATATAAGCATTGCATTCCTTACCTGAATTCACTTGGGCAGATCCCCACACAAGCCCTACCGGATCTCTGCCTGCCTTCCAAGAGACCCTGGCCTCCCTCCCCCCAGGATGGACAGGTGAGCAGGACAGAACTCCACTTACGGCATGCAAGGTCCTTACCTGAAGATGTTTCGGTGGACACTGGAGCCATGACACGAGGCTGGTGGCAGGGCTCTGCGATGGAAGACTGAGATGGGTGCTGGGTCGGGAAGCTGGCTCTGGGTCTGGGTGGGAATCAGGATGTAATCTCAGAAGCAATCCACAAAGCACTTGAAGGTGAGGCGAAAGAACCTCATTGATGGGGATTTACACCAGGGAAACGGGCAGTGGGTGAGAGTCTGGGCAGGGCCTTGAGCTCAGAAGCAGGCAGCACAGACCAGGCAGAGCATGTGCTCCATCCCTCAGCGCTGGCTCTGAGTTCTGCTGCTCTGAAGAATGGAGAGTGAAAGGCAATTGCATCTGCTCCTATTCCCCTCCCAGCTTGCATCTTATTGGCCACTGCTTCTGGCAGCAAGTGTGACTGCTGCATTCTGGGAAATGGAGTCCACATTGCTACCGGGTACCATGGAGATGCTTTAGGATGGAGCTAGACAGGTGGATGCAGGCTTGGTAGATGCAGGCCTTTGCACACTAAATATAGGAGCAAAACAAGAAGGGATTGAATGCTACAGGCGGGGAATTCTTTATTTCCAAGAAGCTAAGTGGAACAAGAAAACAGAGAAAGAGAAAAGGAAAGAAAAAGAATAGCTTCTGAGCGGAATAACTGAATAAATCACCATCCAATTCTTTCCAGAGATAGCCTATCCTGCTTAATTAGGGTGATTTCAATACATGCCCCTCTTAAATGTTGTTTTTAAGTTTGCATCTGCTGAGAAATTTTAAATGTCATCCTGGATGACAAAAGGCAAGAAATAGAAATGAAGCTACTAATAGGGGGAATTTGCAAACGTTCCTAACTGCGAATTGCTTAACAGCGATAAAAAGGTTACTTTAGTGGAACAAAGTACATTTGAGGGAGACAGAAATAAACTTTTCTGGGCACTATTAGTGAGTTCATCTTTGTTCTCCAAATCACAGTCCTTTGTCTCAGCTGCTGCTTTGAGACCTCTCTCATGCAGCAAGCTAAACTTAATTTGAGTTGTGCCATTTTGACCTAGCCTCTGTGTGAACACAACAATTGAGTATGGTTGTGACCTAAAGCTAAACTAAGCTAAACCTGATGAAAAAGGATTCAGGGAATGAATTCACACACTAGTCCCAAAGGTGCTTTTTTAAGTGGCAACTGGACTTCTGGTAAATCTTTAAAGATATTTTGCTTCTCATCCAAGAAGCTTCTTCAGAGCTGAAGTGAAACATCTTCAAAGATTTATTAGAAAGTCCAGTTGCCTCTTGAAAAAGCACCTTTGGGACAACCATGACCTGGATGACTGAGAAGCTCCATAGACATTCACATATTAGGTTATGCCAAAATTAGTAACTGGATTTCGAGGTTCTAATAAGATATACAGTATGCCTGCAAGTTGAAGGCACTATATTTAAAAAATCAACTCCATAACTGCTCTGAGAGAGGAAAGTTTCCTTTAATAATGCTGCCTGAAAATTAGAAAAATTCTGCTCTAGCATATTTAGAGCGCATCTGTTGGGAATGAATTTTTAAAGCTGTTAAGTGTGTTTTTAAATAAATCTTTCTGTAGCTTGAGCTTACTCCTTTGGATGAAAGATTGCGTACAAATAGCCCTCGACTTACAACAACAATTGGGACCAGAATTTCTGTTGCTAAGCAAGGCAGTTAAGTGAATCACACCAAATTTTATGACCTTTGAAAGCCACAGTTAAGTGAGTTAAAGTGCCGCAATTGTTAATGAATACACGGTGATTAAGGAAATGTATTCCTCCATTAACTTTGCTTGTGAGAAACTGGCCAGGAAGGTTTCAAATGACAATCACAAGATTCTGGGATGCTACAGCCATCATAACTACATATTGATTAACCTTGGAGATGCTTCAATGGTTCTAAGTGCGAGGGCCAGCTGTAAGTCACTTTTTTCAATGCAATTGTAACATTGAACAGTCACTAAACAAATGGTTGTAAGTCAAGGACTACCTGTAAAATGTTCTGAAGATTTAGGAAGATTAAAATCTAGGAGACTTGATGCAACAGGAATGACTCCTGGGATCCTCAGACCCTTTTCAGTAATCTGCCTTTTTATTTTCAAATTCAGTGCAGATGAATTCAGTAGATTATTTGAGCTCCAGGGCTCTGTTAAAATCCTTCACATTGTATGCGATTGACATTTATTTGTCGGTTCATAATTTTTTGTTTGTGTGTTTTTAAAAGCTCGACACCATTTTGCACCACATTTCATGCTACATGAAATAAGGAACTCAGGTAAATGGGGATGTTAAGACAGATTTTACTGAAAGGAGTGAGCTCTTGCAAATAAGAGCAAATTAAGATTTGCTCTCTCATGGAAGGGGCACGGTGGCATTTAAAGAGGGGCAAGGGGAAAGGGGGATGATGTTAGCAGTGCCATGTTATCACAGTGCAGATTCCTTGTCTTGTGTATGCAGTACCTGTTGTGTATTTACAGACTCTTGTCAGTTTAAAAAAAATTGACTGGCGGGGACCAGGAAGAGAGCCTTGTCTGCCATTACCCTTTGGGACATCCTTCCCCCTCCCCCAGAGGTGAAGCTGACCCCCACTCTCACTTTCCAAAATATCTAAAGGCCTGGCTCTGCAGAATCATTTGGGGCCCTCAGAGGAGCATAGAGCCATCAGGCTGGTTAGCGCCTCAAAGGCCTTCTCCCGCCTTTTTAACGTCACATTTTATTTATTTCTAGTTTTAATTGCCTCTCAACCTTATATTCGCATACAATTTTTTAAAAGGCTTTTATCTCTTATTTTTATACTGCCCAGTCTTTCTTTGAGGGAGATGGGTTATTTCTAACTGGGGGTGGGGGTGGGGGTGAAATCTATAAATAAATAAGTTTAGAAAAGGCTGTAACTTGCATTACAATGATGCAACCCTGCTGTTGTCTTTTTGACAAAAAGCCTTCTGTCGCTCTCAGTGGCCGTCCCTTGAAGGCAACATCATGGAAGATAAGAGGAAATAAAAGATGGTGGGGCACATTTGCGGCCTTGTTGACTGGAAGGGGAACCGAGGCCTTAGCAAAAGTTGGTACTGCTTAATCTCATCAGGCAGGCTCTTCCTGCATTACTTATCCTGATCTACCTCTAGAGCCCTTTATAAAGAGCGCTTTACGCACAGCTCTCCGTAACTCGGTTCCCCCAAATCTGCTGCTGCAGAGGATTGGAGGAATTCTCAGGACTCATTAATTAGTGGAGGACAAAAAGCAACCCGGGAATGAAGGTCTATTGGGGCAGCATCATTTGACCCCCTACAACAAACCCTGTTTCTTATCAGCCAGGGCAACACGGGTCCATATTGCCAGCACCCTCCCCCAAAGCTCAGGGGGAAATTTTGACCAGAAGCACATTCCCACAGATGCCTTACCCTGTTGCCATGGTGTCCAGTGAGCAAATACATCCACTCTAGGGTCCGTTTCCATGTAACACGCAGCAGCCGCATTCACAGGGCAAAGACACAGCTCCTTCCCTAGGTTCAGCACTAGCCCATGGTTTGAGGGGGGAGGAAGAAGAGGGCTATGGGTTGATCTGGCTGTCCGAGGAAAAGAGGCCAAGGCTATCTTGGTGGCTAGCTTCCAAACACAATGTATCTTATCACAGGGCAGCCAGATAAACGTGTGAGAACCACAGGCGCGGCGAAAGGCCTTGGGTGCTGCCCAACGATGTGGTGCTGGGCAGTTTTAATATTTTTGGGCTTCCAGGAATCGATTGACTCCGTGCCTTGACTGCTCTGTTGAGGAATCCATGTGTGGCAAGGGATTTTGGGAAGGATCCCATGGCAGACATTCCATGTAAAGTTGGCAGACCTCCCCCTGCTTGTAACATCAGGGACTGGGCCACACCATTCCTGACCCGATTAGAGAGTTAACCCATGTTCTGGGATTCACACAATGCACTCAGCCGTAAACTAGACAAAGGAGTTGGACGTCCCAAAAGTGCTTTTTCAAGGGGCAACTGCACTTTCTGGTTTTTTCTTTGAAGACGTTTCGCTTCTCGTCCGAGAAGCTTCTTCAGCTCTGAAGAAAGAAAAAACAGAAAAGCACCTTTGGGGCAACCATGACTTGGATGAGTGAGAATCTCCATAGACAAAGCAGCTGGAGTTGCAGACTTAGCCTGTTTCCCACAACTAAGGTTGGCACCAAACTTTTGTTATACAGGTAGTCCTCGACTTACAACAGTTCATTTAGTGACCATTCAAAGTTATGGCACTGAAAAAAGTGACTTATGACCCCTTTTCACACTTAGAACCATTGCAGCATCCCCATAGTCACATGATTTACATTTGGATGCTTGACAACTGGTTCATATTTATGACGGTTGCAGCGTCTTCAAGGTCATGGGATTATCCTTCTGACAAGCAAAATCCATGGGGAAGCCAGATTCACTTAACAACCGTGTCCCTAATTTAATAACTGCAGTGATTCACTTAACAAATGTGGCAAGAAAAGTAGTAAAACGGGGCAAAACGCAAGTTCTCACTTAGCAACAGAAATTCTGGGCTCAACTGTTGTCGTAAGTTGAGGACTACCTGTACAAATAAAGCTTTTTTTATACCCCCATTTGTTCCTTTGGCACCAGAGTTGGCATTCAGCAGGTCCTGACCAGTTCTGGAGAACCGGTAGAGGAAATTTTGAATAGTTCGGAGAACCGGCAAATACCACCTCTGACTGGAGATTTTACTGTATCCTTCCCCTGCCATGCCCACCAAGCAGGTGGCATGTGCCACAGAACCGGTAGTAAAAAAAATTGAATCCCACCACTGCTTGCCACCTGTGGTAACTCAGGCAGATGGCATACCAGTTGCCTGTGGAGGGGAGGGAGAAAACCCCTCTTACTTCCTTGTTGCACGAGGCTTTTGAATCTCAGTCGGCAGAGTGGGGTGCTTGGCAGGACAAGTCACAGGAGCAACCAAGCAGGAGTCCAATGGTGACAACTTCAATTCTTCTGAGTAATATGACTCCGTTTCCCAATAACTATCCTTGTGTTCAAATTTGCACTTTCTCCTAATGCGTTTTCAAGGGAGGTTTATTTTAATCTCTACGAGCCAACACGGATAACTGGAGTGGCAGTGAAGTCTCCTCATAAATTCCAAACTATCAATCCCAACAGGCTGATTTTCTTCATTATTAATTCAGCTTCCATCTAATTCCCACCCACCCCCAATTCCCTAATTGTTTGTTCTTTCTTCTTTTGAACCCACATACAGTATTAGGATGCCAGCCATATTGATTGATTAGGTGTAATGGAATATTTATATCATCACATTTAA